TATCAATTGGTACTCACGACTCAACGACACAAGTACAGAATATGTTGATGGTTTATTGGATGCAGCTAGGGAGAGAGGACTGGGTGTGTATATGGATGGAGGGACTGGTGTCTATCGTGTACCTCAGGATGGCTGTAAATAATGAACACTGTAGCTGCTTTAATCATTGATAGTTTTTTATTTGTTCATGATTTTGTTTATTAATGGTGTGATCAGCATTCCGTGATGTTGGTTTAATGAATTTTTAAAGTTTCTCAATAAGTTGGTGAAAGTTCCTGTACTGATGATATGAGAGAATTCTCAATTTTTATTTTTTATGATACTTACACAATGTACATGTATATACGTCCTTCGTTTAAATGACAATTTTGAATTGATTCAGATCAAATTTGGATTTTTTATGAATTTTTAAAATTTGCTGAAAAGTTGGCTGAAGTCCTTGTGTTTATCCAAATTTCATCAAAATGGTTATGAGCAAATTCTCCATTTTAGTACATTTTCTAATGCATAAACATGTACTTATGCTGTGTAGAAATTTTGAGCAGATTCCGATCAAAATTGTTTTAAAAGTTGCTCAAAAAGCCATACACTGATTATAATTTATTACTATAGGATGAAGAAGTACGCAGTAAATATCATCAACTAAAATTAGAAAATGCTCAAATTAAAGAAGTAATGCAAAATAATCATGATGGTAATAAATAATAATCATAACAGGATGCAGAACAGAAAGAGAAGGAGCTGGAGTCTCTAACAGAGAAAGCAAAGATGCTTAAAGAAGAAGTTGCTACATCAGATTTGAAGCAAAGAGCATGTAAGTGCAAGCAAAACTAAAAAATGTTGAACAGCATTCTGGTTTTCTTTTTAGTCCAGTTGCATCAACAGTTAGCAGAAGTGACTGCTAAACGTGACGAATGGAAACAAAAGGAAAAAGAGACTCCGGAACAAGAGAGAGAAAGATTACTGAAACAAGTTAAACGTGACAATCAAGAAATAGCATCACTTGAAAGAAGGTCACTATAATTATTTATATTACATACATGACATCATTCTCTGATTTACTGTATATAGTGCTTTATTTTGGGAGTGCTTTATTTTAGCAATTTGCTGTAAAATTGTAATTGGCAGTTTTTAATTTGGTGATTTTTGTGTACATGTGCATGACTGAGCATGCGCATTAATGATTGGCGGTTTTAATATTGGTAATTCTGCTTGCAAAGTGCAAACCACCAATTGCCAAAAGTAAAACTCCACCAAATTAAAGCTCTATATGGTATATGAGACTTTATGGGTCATTAAGAGAAGAATCAATTGATGTGTGTGTGTGTGTGTTACTGTTGGTAGGTCAGATGAGCTGAGGGATGAATTGGATAAGCATCAGGAATCACTGAGACAAACTGAAGCTAATTTAGATGAAGCACAAGGAGAGAAAGCAGCAAAAATAAAAGAATTAAAAGCAAAGGAAGATGAGAGACAAAGTAAGAAAAACTAGAAAGAAAATATGTGAAATATATACATTGAACTTTTTTATAGGCTATATAGACAGTTTTGAAGATCTTAAGAAAGCAGAAATGGTATGTCACATAAACTGCATGTATAATAATGCAATTACCTGATACACTACATGGTGTTGTAGGAAAAACTAGAGAATCTGCAAGAAATGATAGTTGGTGTACTTGAACATATAAGCGAGGTATGAATGAGAGTAATGGATAACTATTATTAACATATGTATTATACTTTTTAGGCTATAGTTGAATCTGAGAATCTTCCCTCAGTCTCACAGTATCAGGAGCTACAAGAAGATCTATTGTACAAGCAGGAAGAAGTGAAGAAGGCATCAAAGACTGCCAATACTCT